CAGTTGGTGTTGTATTTCAGAGCAATTTTATGTTAAGCTATATTTGAAAATAGAGGAGAAGAATCAGATGCTACTGATGAATTTTAAGCCCTGAATTCCAGATCAGTTGATATTGTGTTTTGTGTTGAGCTATACTTGAAAGCAGAGGATAAAAATCACATGCTGCAAAGGATAAGGTCCATAGAAGTTTAGTTTAAGGGAGAATGTTAGGATTAGTGTTAGTTGACTGGTTGACTGGTTGACTATTAGATGTTACAGCTGGTTCTATTAAAGAGCTATTAAAGTCTATTTTGTATATAAATAGCTTTGTAAGGGCATGTCCAACCCAACTCAATTTTGGTGTCATTTTGGTGTTTTACACCAAAATGGTGTGCAAAATGTGCTCCAACCCAACACCAAAAACTGCATCAAATTGACGTAAGTGAACAGTGTTACACCAAATTTGGTGTAACACTATTCATCCACACCAATTTGGTGTGGCACTATTCATCTACTATAAAATATATTTTATTTTCTCATTTTTGTTATTTAATTTTTGTTATTTGTATTTATGTTAATTTGATTATTATTTATATTTATATTTATAATAATAAACTCCTGAAGTTGAAATCGTCGTAGATGAAAATATCTGATCTCAAAATTTTCTTGCTCGACATAGACAAATCAAGGATACAAAGGCTCACCATACTTTCGAAATGCATTAATTGATCATTTGTGAGAAGAATATACTAATTCAAAAAATTAAATTACTATCGATATAGAATTTTACTATTGTGTTGTTGTTACCTTTTTTGTGACATTTTATATTAGATGTAATTTTTTTTATATTAAATATAATGTTTACTTGATTAATAATTTTATTAAATTATTATAAGTTTCAAAGTAATTATTATTTAATAAAAATAGCATTCTAAATATTTAATTAATACATAAAAAAATAATTAGTGAAATTGATTAATTATTGATTATTAATAGAAAAAATATTCTAAAAAATATTCTTTTTGATGTAATATTTAGTAGAATTGGTTGGATATATAATAGTGAAATACACCAAAATCACGCCAATTTATTGTAAAACTTGTAGCAACCACAAAACTTGTGGCAAGCGTTTGTGGTTGGAGATGGTCTAACTAATTCTATAATCAAGAAAAACAGTTACATTTTTCCAAAATTTTCTTTGCACTTAATCTCTTTCTTTCTTGTTACTTTACTCTTCACTCATGGCATCATCGTCCAACACCGTTAAAATACAGGAGGTTTCTCTAGTTACTCCTTCCTCCGACTCAAACTCCGAGTTTTCTCTCCCTCTAACATTATACGACACGTTTTGGTTTAATTTTCTTCCTGTTGAACGCCTTTACTTCTACCAAATCACTGCTGACTTAACCCCTCATTTCTTCAACTCAGTTATCCTCCCAAAGCTCAAGCATTCTCTCTCTCTCACTCTCCTTCATTACCTCCCTCTTTCTGGGAACCTTATCTGGCCCCCAGAAGTCAAAAAGCCGTACATCTACTACTCCCCAAACGATGGCGTTGCGGTCACTGTTGCAGAATCTACCGCCGACTTCAATTCGCTTTCTGGTAATGGAGTTCATGAAGTTGTGGATCTTCATCCTTTAATCCCTCAGCTGTTGACATCTGATCCCAAAGCAGCGATGATTGCTATACAAATTACTTTGTTTCCGAGTCAAGGGTTTTCCAACGGCATCACAACTCACCATGCCATATTTGATGGGAAAAGTTCAACCACGTTTATCAAGTCATGGGCTTATCTATGCAAACAAGGTAAAGATGAAGAAGAAAATCCTTCTTTGTTACCAGAACTAATCCCGTCTTTTGACCGAACTGTCATCAAAGATCCCACTGGTATCGACATGGAGTACGTGAACAACTGGTACGCTTACATCAACACACGAAGCCTGAAGGTTTTGCCAAACATAGCACCGAATGCCGATTGGGTTCGAGCCCCATTTGAGTTGACCCGTGAAGATATCACGAAAATAAGGAATCAGGTATTGTTTATATTGAATAAAGAAAATGAAAAGGAGGAGGACAAAACACCAAAACAACTTCATTTATCAACTTTTTTGCTAACATTGGCATATGTATTCGTCTGCTTGGTTAAAGCTCGAAGAGGGGAAGACAAAAGAACTGTTATTTTCGTATTCACAGCAGATTACAGGACTCGTTTAGATCCTCCAGTTCCATTGAATTATGTTGGCAATTGCGTTATGCCACATCCATGCACTGCAACAGCAAGAGATTTGACAGAAGAAAACGGGGTTGCCTTTGTTACAGAGAAATTAAGCGATGTGGTCAAAGGGTTAGAAAGGGGAGAACTTGAAGGAAGAAAAGATACACTTTCAAGGGTGTTGATTGCAGTTAAATCCATGTCTGAAAGAGTACAAGCCCTTTCGGTAGCCGGGTCGACCCAGTTTGACGTATACGGATCGGATTTCGGATGGGGGAGACCGAAGAAGGTAGAGATTGTGTCAATAGATAGGAATGGAGCTATAGTGTGGCCAAGAATAGAGGAAGAAGCGCTGGTGTTGAGATTGGTGTGGCTTTGAAGAAGCAAGAAATGGAAGTTTTTTCTGCTTTATTTGTCGGTGGGCTAAAAGATAACGTATAAGGTTCGGTTTATTATTTTGGATAGGATTTTTGAAATAGTATTGGTAAGTAGAGTTGGGTGATTATTATGAAGTAAAATTTAAAATTTAACAAAAAAAACCCCCTAAGTTTGCTAATTTAACTAAACACCCCAATATATAAATTTTTTATAAAATGACAAAAACACCCCCACCCACCCACAGTGTCAAATTCCGGCCACCACTATCGAAATTTGATCTGAATTTGGCGTTACAGCTCAGACCGGTCGGATCTGGCCGATCGTGCGTGGATCTGGCCTTTTCCGGTCAGATCCACCATGGATCTGACCGGAAAAGGCCAGATCTACGGCCAAATCTAACGGTCGACGACCACAAAAGGCTAGATCTGATCGTCACTAAAGGTCAAATCGACGAATTATCGGCCAATTCCAGTTGTTTGTACGCCGTTGTGACAGATTCCGGTCACCATCGATGGTGGTTGCCGAAATCTGGCAACTATGGGTGGGTGAGGATGTTTTTGTTAATTTATAAATTTTTTTGTTGGGAGTGTTTTTATCAATTAACAAACTTAGGAGGGTTTAAAAGTTTTTTTAGTTTAGGATAGGATTTTGAAAATAAGGAAACAAAGTGCATTTGTATTTGAAATAGGGATAGAATATAGATAAATAATAAACCAAACGGACGCATAAGGTTTGCATTATTTTATCTTAAATCGTTTTGGATTTTCTGCAGTCAACTTCCTATGTATTGGTTTTCCCTATTGCCGGAGCTTTCATCTGCCCTTGTATTATAATTCTATCCTGTCTTTGAAAATCGTCTGTCTTCAGACTCTTCACCCGAATCAACCTTTATATATTATAATAATGATAAACTCAACCTAATTATATTTGTCATATACGGCTGCGGTCCATCTTAATAATATGGTTGAAAGGTGAATCTGTAATCAGAATCAGAATTATCTTGCTTCTGCAAGTATTTTTTTTTAAGAAAATAAGAGAGAAATAATTCATCATTATAACAAATGATTAAGAGGAGATAATAGAGGTATTATGTTTGGACTTACAGCAGATTACAGGAGCCGTTTAGATGGATCCTTCAGTTCCGGTAGATTATGTTGGCAACTGCGTTATGTTGCATGCAATAGTTGCAACAGAAAGAGATTTCATGATCGGTGTGGTTTTAGAGAAACCAAGAAAGGGAGGTTTTTGCTTATCTGTTTGGGTTAGATATGGTATATACTTCTCTTAGTCTTAACGGATTATCGGCTTCCGACAACTCATAGTAATTAAGTCCAATATCTAATTAGGTTTAGAATTAGTTTACCAAAATTTGACCTGAGTTGGGTTTGATTCTGGTAAACCCAAATAGGGTTAGGTTTTCTGTTATGTATTTTCTATAATAGTGAGAAGTCTTAGGTGTGAAAGAATAGAGAGTGAGAATGAGTTACTGTCATTATTCTTTATAATTGCTGTAGAGTTTTAATACTCGTTAAAATTTTCTATTTGATTGTTGGGCGTAATTCCTGTCTTTGGCTTTCATATCCACCAGCTTGTTGATGGGCCTAAATATTTTTAAGATACAGGAAGGTAGCAACGTTAACTAATTTAATTACTTTATTAGAATAATATTTTGATTTGATATCAATATCGTTATCAATTAATTGATAAGAACAATAATACTTTCTCCTTAGAATATCATCAAACGTTCCCTTTCAATTGTCCGGATTCTCTCTAATTCTAGATGTGCATAAAAATCAACGTTTAATTTAATGAGACAACTGTTACTGGCTTGACATATGCATGCCCATGTCTCTCCCTTGTCCTGTCTCAAGCTCTCATCATTTTGTAGAGGATAACCTGCAGTACTTTTCTCTGTCTGCCTCAAGGGCATCACATGAACTACTTGTATATGTAACCTCAATCTAAATGAGATCAAATCTATGTTTTCTTTTTAATTTCTTGTGGGCGCATGCATTCGACATTAACAAATTAAATAAATCTGCAGAATGCATGACTAATTCACAATGGGGATAAAGAATAATTCTATGCCGCTATCAAAATCCTCCTGTTCGATGACATTGTCAACTCTACTGTAAGCATAGCTAATTTGAAAAATGATAATGTCATAATCCAAGAGCCATGATGAACTTTATATCTTAATTATCCTTGTTAATTAACTTGTGGTTAACGAATAAACACATCTTTTTGTTCCTTTTTAATGCATGCTTATGCTTGTGTTATGTACATATATGTATTACATCAAAGCCTGATTCCAGATGGCATTCTACAATTAATTGCCTAATCAATGAGTCAATTCTAGAGCTGAACTGAACCAAGGCTATTTAAACCGTTAATGTTATAAGCCAGAGAGTTATTAATTGATCTCCCTTTCATGGCACCATCCGACGTTGTGAAAATTCATGAAACCACAAAAGTCACTCCTCCCTCAACCTTACCCACTGAGTTTTCTCTCCCTCTAACAAAATACGACACTCTTTGGTTAAATTTCTGTCCCGTAGAACGCCTCTTCTTCTATCACATCACTCACTTAACTTCTCATTTCTTCAACTCAGTCATCCTCCCCAACCTCAAGCTATCTCTCTCTCAAACTCTCCTCCATTATCTCCCTCTCGCTGGTAACCTCATCTGGCCCCAAGATGCCCTAAAACCATACATCTACTACTCCCTAAACGATGGTGTTTCACTCAGTGTTGCAGAATGTAACGCCGACTCCACCCGCCTGTTTGACAATCATATTCATGAAGCATTAGAGCTTCGTCCTTTCGTACCTGAGTTGTTTAGTTCTGATAATAAAGCAGCGATAATTTCTATACAAATAACTTTGTTTCCAAATGAGGGGTTCTGCATCGGCATATCAACTCACCATGCCATACTTGATGGGAGAAGTTCAACCATGTTTATTAAATCTTGGGCTTTTCTATGCAAACTACGTCAAGAACAAGAACAACAAGAAGAAGTCTCTTCTTTACCTCCAGAATTAACCCCATGTTTTGACCGGACTCTCATCAAAGACCCTAACGGGGTCGACATGGTGTACGTGAAAAACTGGTCGGATTTTGCAAAGTCGGATTCGAATCCCAACTCACAAAGTTTGAAGATTATGCCGAGCATGGGAGGGAAACCCAGCTGGGTTCGAGCCACATTTGAGTTGACCCATCAAGATATTAAGGAACTCCGGAATAAGATATCATCTAAAAATATAGAGAATAAATCAAAACAGCTTCGTTTATCCACTTTTGTGCTTACATACGCGTACGTATTCGTCTGCTTTATGAAAACCAAAAGAGTAAAAGATGATACAAGTGTTATTATTGCCTTTACAGCTGATTACCGGACCCGTTTAGATCCTCCAATTGTAACTAATTACTTTGGCAACTGCGTTATGTCACATGCGCTCGTTGCAAAAGCAAGAGAAGTTAAGGAAGAAAATGGGGTCGCCTTTGTTGCAGAGAAAGTGAGCGATATGATCAAAGAGATGGAGAATGGAGTTCTTGAGGGAACCGAGGATACACTTACTAAGTTTGTGAGAATGAGGGATGAGCATCCAGGAGCACAAGGGGTTGGGGTAGCTGGGTCAACCCAATTTGACATGTACGGGTCGGATTTCGGGTGGGGAAGACCAAAGAAAGTAGAGATTGTGTCGATAGATAGAACCGGAGCAATTGGTTTGACAAGGAGTGGAGATGGAAGTGGTGGTGTTGAGATTGGTGTGGTTTTGGAGAAGCAGGAAATGGAGGATTTTGCTTCAATTTTTGGTGATGGGCTAAAAAATCTTTAATTAGGACACAATTTGTGGGAACGCTTTTTTTTTTTTTTTTTTTTTTTAACATATAATTATCTATATAAATTAATTTCTTTTTTGCTTAAATTATTTTTAATTAATTTAGTGCAAACTCTGAACATATCATGAATAGATTATAGACTTATTGCTAATAGCACGATAAAATGGGATAGTATAATTTGTAAGTACATCTTTTTTAAAGCACGATTGATGTATGTTGGATCCAGACACATGACAGGTGAGTTCTTAGAGATAATGTCTATTTTGGGCGCTAGGATTCGCAAGGTTTTTCCTTGAAAAGACACTTCTAGGTGATGAAGGTGTCATTGTAACTACTAAGGTCGTCGTCTTCTAATCGATGTAAGACTTTGACACCAACAAACACATAAAAAAAAAAAAAAAAATTATATAATACGATTTTGAAATAGAATATCAATCACCTCTATTAATTATTTAGCTTAATTACAAGCCCTTATAACAAGATTTCTCACATGAATTTTTTTTAAAATAAAATTTATGAACTTTCAAAAATGTCTTTAGAAAGATATATATGTATACAAAAAAAAAAAAAAATCATATATATGTGATGATACAAAAATCTGCACCAACTAGCGAGATTCGATCGACCTTGCTGGGATCGGAACTGATATGTGCATGATTAAAAATAATCAGCAATGTATGTAAAAATGCAATAAAGTAAAGACAATGAGAGTTTTAAAGTGGTTCAGTGAGGTTAACTCTGAAGCCTACGTCCACTGTTTTTGTATTTGCTGTGAGAGCTTACAATATAATTCATATGTCAAATTTGTAGCCCCTTCCTCATCGTTTGAGGGGGTTTATATACAAGGTTTGTATAGAGAAAAAAGTGAAATTAAGGGGATTACAATTAATCTGAATCGCAATTTCGATATTCTTGCGATTGGACGCAGTGATCGCTGCTGATCTAGTCAATCTTGCAATATCTGGGATCTGAAGTAATCTAGGGATTGATTGAATGATTGCTCGCAACTAGCTTATGCTGGGTCGATCAATCATCGTTGCCAAGGTAGTTCTGGGTTGGGCTACATCCTCGTGAAGGCTCAAGCTTGACGGAAAAATCACACACAACATCTGTCCCTTAGTGTTTGATGCTCGTTTCGGGCTTTGAAGACTATTGCTCGATTTGATGTCAAGCTCGGTCTCATCAACAAGTCTCCGAGTGTAAGTTCGATCGAGCTTTCAAGGTCGACCTTATGTCCGGCCGACGTACTTCACACTTGGATCTTCACTTTCCATGTTACTTATAAAACTCAAAATATGAAAAGTTAGGGCAAACATGTAATTTTTGTGTGGTCATGTCGCATTTAATGTGGCATCCTTTGGTTGTCATGTTTTGTCGCGCATGGGCGACTATAGTTGTTCACGCGCGAAGTCGAGGCAACGTGCAGCGACGGTTATAATTACAGCAGTTTAACGATTCATCGCTCCTCGCAGATGGTCGACACATGGCCACGTTTGAAGGCTGAGATTGCTTGACAAATAAAGGGTCAAGATCAATTGTAGGTCGACGGCCACGATCGAACCTTGCCCTTTTGTCTCCCATGCAAACCTCTATAAAAGATGGCAAAAATTATCAGAATAGTTACTTCGAAAGTTCTTTGACTCTTTTGCTCTCTTTGCCGTTGTTTCTACATCGTCACGGTGGTCTTTCTAGCAAGTTGTTTTGCATTCCTCATTCCGATAATGTTCTTTTCCCTTTCCTTTTCCGTTCTTTGCGATTGTTTGCATCGAAGGGTGGCCATTGTGGTTCACATTGTGTGTTTTAGGGTTTTAGTAGGGTTTTTTGGTGCATCTCTAGTGGTCTTGGGTTTTACAACGGTTCAACATCACGGTCGTCGGTACCTTGGATAGGTCGCGTGCATTCGTCGTGTTGCGTGGGCTACCTTAGGTGCCTGAAATGGAAGCGATGTGGAATGGTCGCCGATTTGTTCGAGCTTTGACACATGTTTGCTTCTTTTTTTGGTACCCATAAGCGAACCATAGCCATGTCTTCCTCCAGTAGTCGCATGCCGGTGGGCTCGACAATTCTTAGGAATGTGACCCCCGAGGTCTCCGAAGAATTCATCGCCCGAAGCTTGGACCTCGATGTTGTGGACTTGTTCGACTACGCTTCGATCCAGTTGGCTTACTCCCAGTCGTCCCCAGCTCATAGGTTGCAAAAGGAACCTCGGTCGTTGATTACCATCGGGGATCTGGAGTGCATTAAAGCGATCTATTCACCGCAGCTTAACCTGATGGTTCCGGGGGAGCACTTTCGAAAAAAACTCCACGCCTGGATGGGTGGCGATCTCTGAGACCCTTCTCAAGTGCGGGGCATTCATTCCCTGCACTATTTTATTGACAACGTGTTGAGGCGATTTGACATCGTTCCTCTTCAGTTGTCTGCTAATTCAGACGTGGTCATCATTGCGATGTACATCGCGTACATGATCGATGATCTAGGCGAGCCATCCGTCGAGGAACTCATCCATCTATACAAGCTCAAGAAAGGGAAAGACCAGATGTTCTACCTTTCCAAGGTGAGGAAAGTATGTCTTAACGGGTTGGTCAACATCCTAAAGAAGGTCTCTCATTAGGACTCGTAGTACTTCTTTTACGAAGCCCGTGTGCGCGCAGATTGCTTTTGATTGTTGTGCTCCATCTAACCAAGCCGTTTTGTTTATGCAGTTAATGTCGAACAGAATTTCCTTTCGGTCGTGAGCTTACAGAGGCTTCAATGTTTTAGCAATCTTTCTGATGACTAACGCAACGTTAACGAGCTTCTCACGCTTCCTCATCTAAAGGCGTATGACTTTTGTCAAGACGAGGCCAAATTCCTTACGGTCTTGGAAAAAGGTTAAGTTACTACTTGCTCGAGTTTACTTTCCCACGCAAATGGGCCGCTAACTTGTTTGCCTCTTTCCTTGTAGAGATGTGGGCCGAAAAACCTAAAGGCCTTAAGAATAAAACGGCAGCCCTAACGGCCGCCAAGAAGGCATCGGCTACTACGGTGATGAAGTAGCTCACGGACACTACCGGCTCGAATCGCGTCGATAGTGAGCTTGGTAGAGGCCCAAGCGCGAAGAAGCCAGCGATTGCCTTGAAGGCACTTGGCAGGAAGAGCGTTACTGAGCCCCATAAGGGGCCAACGAAGAAGACGCCCAAGCTAACTGGAGGCTTGGGAAAACATAAAGCATCCGAGCAGCATGATAGCTAGGGGAAAAAAAAGCAACCGAGCCTCGGGGGGCTCGGGCAAGTAAAAAATGGCCGAGTAGAGGGTTGGCTCGGGCAAAGAGGTCGCCACGCATGCAGGTGGCCTTTAAAGCATAGCGGCCAAGGACTTGGCCAAGAAGAAGTTCACTCTTACAGGCGAGATAGGCATTGTCAGGGGGATTAAGTCTAGATTGCCCCGACCAAAAAATAAGAAGATGGACGAAGCAGCTCATGCTACGATCGACAAGATGATCGACCAACTCCTCGATCACATTGGCCACAGGGCCGCTACGACTAGGGATGATGTCACCCCGCAAACTTACGCAGCCATTTGGGATGATTCGCCCACCGAGATGTTGGGCTTGTTGTGCAGCTTCACGACAAAGGTATCGGTAGCTCGTTTCTTTTCTTTTTTACTCGTTTGGTATCCTTGCTTTTTACTGATTCTCTTTTATTCTCTCTTTAGGCTGCCTTGACGAGCAGACTTCTCTATGATGAGTGCTACGACACTTTAGAGGGCACTCATCGAGGATGGAAGGTGACAAAGATAGTGAAGGTAGGCTGAGCTCGAACGGCTCAGGGGGGAAGTTGCAACCTTCCAGGTCAAGGAAATTGAGTTCCTTAACAAACTCAAAGTGAACGAGGCTACTCGGGCCAAAGCCGAAGCTAAAGTAGTAGAGGTCAAAAAGACTTTGGCACAATAGTGGGGTGCCAACAACAAGCTAAACTCTAAGTTATCCTCGGCTCAAAAAGTTGTTGCGAGCTGGGAGGCTAAGTTCAAGCAGTCCTCACGTGACCTTGCCAAGAAGGCGGTAGGTCGCTAGGAGGTCGAAGCTGATGTTAGGCTGCTCGGGGTTCGAATTGAGGAGCTGAACGAGGCTATTACTGCTCGGGCGTAAGAGACATCTGTCTTCCTTGTTTAGAAGTTATAGGAAGCCCATCCTTCAATTGACTTATCTTTCCTTCCGCGAGCCTACTAGAAGGAAGTCGAGAGGATGAAGGTCGAAGCTTGAGGAGAGACCTATGTTTACTCGAACGACTCTGAGGAAGAGGGTGAGGGTCAAGATGAAATCGAGGAAGGCGAGGAAGAGGTCGAACCCTTGATTGAAATCGAGGATCCTACTCCCTTGACCACGCTTCCTCCAACCGAGGCTCCCAACCTTGGAGAGGAAGTCGCCATTCCTCCTATCGACGAGCCATCTCTCCCCCTCAACGACGACCTTCCTAGACAGGTCGAGGATGGAACTCCTACTCCCCTAGCTGCTTGAAATATCATCCTTTTTGTTTTTTGTTATTGCACCCCCACTCCCACCCCCCCCCCCCCCCCCTCCCTTTTTTTTAAGAATGTAATCAAACTTGATCAATATAAGAAGATTTTTATCATTTCCTCATCGAGCAATAATTATCATAGTTATTCGGAGTCATTTTATCGTCTTAGTTAGACTTGTAATTCGAATTTGCTCTAAGTCACACGTAGCTCCCTTCTTGAGAAGCTTTTTAGATTTATGCAGGAAATCTTATGCGCCAATCAACTTTGATTTCGAACTTATCATCTTTTTGAGTTTTTTGGTCGCTGGCTTGAGGCCGATTTCTCTCGACGTGTTTTTTCTTGAAAAAAATCAAATTTAACTTCGTCGATTTAGGATGTTTCATCCTTAAAGAGTTGAATTTTGGCATGGCTTTAAGATAAGTTGCATTTCCTGGACTCTTGACTCCGAGTTTTCTTTTTGGGATATCATCGCTTAGGTCACGATTTATGGATCAAT